AGAACTTCCATAAAAGCCACCATGCCATGTAGTTCTGTTTTTAGAACCAAGATGATGACATTCATTTATGTTTAAAGGTGCTACCCGGGAATTCATTTATCTCTGGTAAGGGTGGCTAGAGTTGAAAAATCTCATCTTAGAAAGGGGAACTGTCAATTCCATCTGAAAATCAATTAGTAAGAACATGTCTTGATTCATCAAACGTAGGTGCCTACCGCGTGCTTTGTGGTATTCAGCTGAGCCACGGGATCCAGTGAGAATGTGGCCTGGAAGTAAGCGCGGTGGGTAGGATTTGAAATCCAGCTCTAATGTTTACCAACTGAATGCCCCTGAGTTCGTTTCCTGCCCTGGCCAACACATGAAGTATGGTAAATTAAACCTTTTTAAAATATAAGCGGCTACACAGAAGTAGGAAATTTGTCACATGCTTTCCTGGATGCTTTAAACTTATAAGATGGTTCGCTGATTTACATTTTCTGAATCTAAGTTCCATGAAGGCAGGAACGTCCTGTCTTACTTCGTCCCCCAGGACCTTATATGGTGCCACATAGTACTCATAATTGTGCAGCTCTGACTTTATAGATTGCTACCAATACATCCAGAAAGAGACATTTTAAGAAATGTATCAATTAGGTGATGTTTCAATTATATTTGATTCGTCCCAACACTTCATGTTTAGAAGACACATGAAGTTTTTTAAAATTTACGTTAGTACCCTTTCTTAATGGGCTACTTGCTTTTAGAATGTTTCAAGGAGAACAATTACATTTCTATGATCTTCCCAAGTCCCAGTGTACATATGGTCAAGCATTAGAGCTATTTTAGTGAAACCTGTAAGTGGTAACATTTCTATTACATCTGAGAATTTATAAAGCATATTTTTGTATTTGATCCTTACAACTACTTTGTGAGGGAAGTTACTCCTTGTATTCAAGAAATAAAACCAAAGTCAGGGAATCATCACTGTCACTCTTAGTTTCATATCCAATAATTTAGCTGGAAATTATTTCATATGTCCCTTATGTTTGACAAGAATCAAATGATCTTCAACAAGTTACATGCATATTCACAACTTCGTAATTACTATATCTTATCATACATTAAAAAAAAAAAAAAATGAGACCTTAGTGTTTCCAGGATCAGAATTAAGTATTTCCTTTGAGAAAATACAAAAACACATTACCTCATCCAGGACCAACGTGACGATGATACACATTTACACATGAAGATGACGCCGTGAGGTGTTTTCTCCAATGGGAGGAGGAAGGATGTGAATTATTGCAGCCCCATTCCGTCCCTGGGTCCCATCTGAAATGCCTGCGGCCAGGAATGGGCTTGTGGGGTGGAGATACGGACTCACCAGACACCTAGCCTACGACTCTGGCTTTAGCGAAGGCCACAACGTCCAAACCAAATGATCCGACTTCCCTTCGAAAACAGCAATTTACAAAAATGTTTACTGAAAGTTTAAAACGGCTTATTTTCAGAGTTACCGAGTTACTTCAAGATAGCAGCGGAGTTCCTAACAAAGTCTTACTATAATCACAATATCGTTATCTTTGGTTGAAATCATGTAGAAATTCGGGCGGTCAACTTCAAAAAAGGTTAAGAACCCTGTAGTTAGTTACCATGGAGTCATTACATTACAAATAAAAAAAGATAATTTTAGGCACTTGCATGGATGCCAACATCTGCTTGGAATGCACACTTTTCAAATCAAGAGACTGTTTGGATATTTCTGAGACACATAATAAAGCTTTCACCCCACACATTAATTTGTTAGGATATTCCAACATGCTATTTGTCTTGGCAACTTGTGATTTCGAAACCCAACAGAAGATAACTTGGAATATTTCCTTTTGTATATAGTTTGGAACATCTGGTCTGAAAAGGCAGAGACTTCTGATTTCTAGAGAACAACGCCAGCCATCCTGAGGGAATAGCCTCCTTCTGACCTGAGGTCACACAGGTGACCAACAGAGTGTGCTCATTCCAGTGGCCTTAGATCTTGAGATTTTAGAACCTTCAGATTTTCCAATTTAGAATCTTATATCTTAGACCCTTCAGAGGGTACCGTGAATCGGAAAATCCCACAAATCTGCAGCTCAAGACTGCTGAAAACAAAACGGGGGTGGAGTGGGGTGGCGAGGGAAGAACGGATACAGATTTATTTTATTTCTCCCATTTTGTACTCTTCTGTTCCCCAAGGGCCCAAGCAGGGGACAAAGTTTGAGATCAAAAGGGCAGCCTGGATTTAGAAGACCGGGTTGATTCTTCCTTCCCTCTCCTCCCACACCAGCAAGGTCTGCCTGCCGATTCAGGGCAGAAATGCAGACACCCTCAGTGTCCACTTCCTCTCGCTGTTCTGGACTGCCACCCACGTTTGCAAGCTGGCCAGGAATTCAAAGTCCCTTAACCCACAAAAACCCATTCCTTTACAACTCCTAACTTCCCAATTCCAGCAGCCTATCAACATGAGGTAGTATCCTTTTTTGTTTTTTTTTTGTTTTTTGTAGTTGACAATGTTGTATTAGTTTCAGGTGTACAATATCGATGTTTGACCCTTCCATACATTACCCAACGTGCAACTCCCGTTGAGTGTGGTTACCATCTGTCACCATTATTTCAGTATTATTGACCGTATCCCCTGTGCTTAAGGGTTATTTCGTTTCTCTGATTACAGCAATCGATATTAAGCATGAACGAGATTCAATCCTTGGTAGGAGCTTTCATCTTTAAAAAAAATTTTTTTTAATGCTTTATTTTTGAGAGAGAAACAGAGCATGAGCGGGGAAGGGGCAGAGAGAGAGAGGGAGACACAATCTGAACCAGGCTCCAGGCTCTGAGCTGACAGCACAGAGCCCGATGCGGGGCTCGAGCTCACAGACCACGAGATCATGACCTGAGCTGAAATCAAGAGTCAGACGCCCCGACCGACGGAGCCACCAAGGCGCCCCAGGAGTTTTCATTTTTTTTTTTTTAATTTATTTTTGGGACAGAGAGAGACAGAGCATGAACAGGGGAGGGGCAGAGAGAGAGGGAGACACAGAATCGGAAACAGGCTCCAGGCTCCGAGCCATCAGCCCAAAGCCTGACGCGGGGCTCGAACTCACGGACCGCGAGATCGTGACCTGGCTGAAGTCAGACGCTTAACCGACTGCGCCACCCAGGCGCCCCCAGGAGTTTTCATCTTAAAGTGGATGCTGATGCCCTGATACGGTAGAATGAGCACTGGATCTAGGGTTTTAGGGCCCTGCTAATCTATATATAGCTCTGCCTCTCATTAGATGTATTTGCTCCGTTTCAAAATAGAAATGCCTCTTCACACTATTGTTGTAGGAGTGAAATAAGATCATACAAGTGGAGGTTCTAGTGAACTTACAGTATGGCACCTAACAACAGATATTAGATGAATTTCAGTCTCTGGTAGGAAGTATAAGAAAGCGTATGCAGGGGGAAGGCAAGAGAAGCTAGCTTCTCATGTAAAACTTTCAGCTTCTGCCCTCAAATTCATTTCCCTCCAGCCCAGCCTCTAAGGAAATAGTAAACACGAAATATCGGCAACGCAGGTGAATACTACCCGAGGGCCCGTCTCGCCTTCCCCTTTTCTGAAAGCATCTCGGCACCTTATTGAGGTTCGGCAAAAAGAAAGAAGAACGTGAATTACGAAGTGAACCACAGATATCCGGGACCTGCAATCACAAATCCATATATTTGGAAACTAAACTCGTGGAGTTATTTTTAACCTGAGCGGGAGGGAGGTTGACTGGGTGATGACATGAACGCACAGTATGTCAAACAGGAAGACTAAAAGTTCCCCGGTGCTTGTAAAGAACCGGGCACTGATATGGCATGGTACACACAAAGGTATATTATCACTCCGGGGGGCACAACGTTCATCCCCAGTGATCCCACGTATGTATCCATCAGAACATACATATGATTGGTTAAAGGCGGCTTTGATTAATGCCCGCATGAAGGAAAAATTATTAGCAAGCAGATCACAATGGAAATGCTGCCTGATTCTCAAGCCCTCGAGTAAAACGCCGCCCTCGAGGACATTGTCGCATAACTTCATTTATTTGTCATTAGGCCACCAGCCACCCTGCTTAATTAAGGTAGAGATTTGTACTTATAAAAAATTGTTCAAAAAGATATATTTTTAAAATGTTTATTTCTTTGGGGGTGGAGAGAGAGCACACACACACAAGTGGGGGAGGGGCAGAGAGAGAGAGAGAGAGAGAGAGAATCCCAAGCAGGCTCTGTGCTATCAGAGTCCAACCAACATAGGACCTGATCCCACGAACTGTTAAGATCATGACCTGAGCTGAAATCAAGAGTCAGAGGCCCAACTGACTGAGACGCCCCTCAAAACGATTTCTATCCAACATTCCCTCATCTTTCTCCTGGAGGAAACCCGGTTTAGGTGTGACCCAGGCCCGGTAGATTAAGGGTACCCCACGTCCCACGTCCGTGTTGTTCGGGGACTCACATGTGATCCAAGCCCAACCAGAGTCCTCTCCATGCTGCTCCTGTCATACCTGTGGGCAAGGACACCTTTCCTTCCCTTTGTGGTTGCGGGCAGCTGTCTTAACAACTGTGTGGAGTGATCACGCGCCCTAACGGCATTGTTTGCCTCACCGAGCGCAGCTGACTGAACCTGATCGGATCTGCTCTAGAACTTCTTGGTTTGTGAGCCCCTGTTTTCTTCTTTGGCTGGAGCTTTTTTGGATTCGGTAACTTTCAGACTGCATCCAAGAGACCCAAGCGTAAGAAAATTATAGCCACCACTAGCGAATCTGAGTTAGCTAATGTTCCACACGCACCAGGCTTATTATTGATAGGCGGCAAGACTGTTTTCTCAATAAGAAAACTTGAAGTCAACGATATCCTCCAGAGACTTCGAGGGAAGTCGATGGTGATGTCACTGTCACCACTGTAAGTTTGGTTTTGCTAGCAAAAGCTTCCCCATGCCTTAAAACAAAGAAGTCACAGGCACGACATTCACAGGATTATTTTACTAGAATTTACGGGGGAGAGGATGATGTTGTCCAATTTGCACAGAGTAAATCTTCAGGTTGAACGCCTGCCAAATACAGGAAAATTCAAGTTCTTGTTTCAGTCTCAACTGGCCTGGGTATGGAAGCAATGCCCGCTTCTCCTGGTACGCGTGAGTCAAACTGTCGGTTATGTCTCCACCTTTTCGTGACCCTTAACTCTCTGCGTCAAGGCTCAGCGACCCCAGACACGAATTCTGGAAAAACTTCTTCCATTTCTATGGTTTTCCTCATCCATCTGAGGATGCTGCCGGCTATCACAGAACTTCACCAACCATACGCTCTGGTCCATACGGCTTTCTTCTTAAACTCTGGGAGAATTCTCAAGGACAGCAGGGTGGCTAAGGGGACAAAAAAAGTGAAGTGTGCTGTTGCATGTGGTGAAATGCATCCAAAAAGGTCATTTGCTTACTTATTTTTAACTGTTTGTTTATTTGAGAGAAGGCACGTGTGTGAGCAGAAGAGGGGAAGGAGGGAGAGAATCCCAAGCAGGCTCCAGGCTCAGTGCAGAGCCTGACGCAGAGCTCGATCTCACAACCTCAAGGTCACAACCTGAGCCAATATCAAGAGTCGGAGGCCTAACTGACTGAGCCACCCAGGTGCCCCTGAAAAGGTCATTTAGATAAAAAAATGTGTCAGAACAGAACTTGGCTTTTTCTTACTTGGCTAAATCTTTAAGACTAAGCAAGCCTTAGGCAGAATTTTAATAGTAGAAAGCCTTTAATAAAAGCTGGGGAAAAGGTTGTGTTTTTCTTAATTGTTATTTAAGTTATTCTGGAACCAGTTAACAGGAAATTCTGCAGATTTAACCAAAACTGACTTCTGGGATGCCACTGTTTTGTTTTTGTTTTTTTTTTTTTAATCTCATGATGATTACATAGGTGTGTTCCCTTTGTACAAAACCTGCTTGTGATTTGTACACTTTTCTACATGAATATGATTTTTCCATTACATGTTCAGTTAAAAGGTAAAAGACAGAAGTAAAATACTGGTCCTGTGATGAAGTCATTAGGTTCATGTGCTCAATGGAACAAGCCTGACTGTACTAATCTGTATGTGACTATGTACCCACAAGTCTATACCTTTTCTTATTTGTCATGGGTCCCTCCGGGATCAATTTCAAGTAGGAAAGTTCTATGTAATTCCTCTAGGTAACTTACTATAGATCTTATTTTAGGATATTAATATAAATATATTGAGATATTATTTAAAATATAATAGTATGAGGCTTATTATAGATCTTATTTTGGGATATTAACATAAATATATTGAGCTGTTATTTAAAATATAATAGTGTGAGGAAATGTAGGTAAGCCAGAGTTACACAATTCTTGTGCGTGACTCTAATAAGCCCTTGACTATACAATCAGGTGAACATGTACTTCTTCCTTGACCCAAATAACTATTTTCCTCATCCATATCAAGGTGTTTGTTATCTTCATGACCTAAAACAGTGTATGTTTGGAGGAGCCAATGGTATTAGGGACCCATGGTCATTAAGCATGAGTTTAAACTCCTTGAGGCAAACACAGGGAGGAAATCCTAGCAAGTCTCTAGGGACGGATCGAGTGAGCGTATGTCGGACCACTGCCCTTATCCTCAGTGAAGTTCTGTGGTTGATCACAATCCTCTTCCTATACATGCCCTCTGCCTATGCTGCGGGTAGGGAGAAGGATCAGAACCAGGAGATTAGGGAATTCTTACTTGTTTGGCAACCAAGAAATTATACCCTACTTAGAGAAAAGGACGGTCATACTATGACCATTATCAGGCTGGACAGATAAGATTATCACAAGTGTAGGCCGACAGGTGGTTTTCCCAAGATGAGACCTTCTAGTGCAATATCTTACAGCGTGTCAGAGGCCATATCAACAGCGGCCATTGGTTGGACCAGACCCCTGAGTCCTAAGACACAGATGACCATACAAGGTATTTCAGGCCACAGAACCAACACCCAAAAGACTTCTCAGATTTGAGTAAAATAATATACATAATTTTCACATGAAGATATTCTGTATTTGTGGTTCCTATAGTCATAGTTTAACAAATCAATAGAGAAGTATAAAAAACACAGAAACCTATTTAAATGCCTGAAAGTGTAGGAAATGTTCAATTCCCTTGGCATAGCTACACTATGCAGCTATTGTAAATACTATTAATGAAGCCAATATAGGAATAGGTTAAAGTGCTTTAAAAGATGATTTTTAAATAAAAAAGGCAGTGTGCTCAAAGTGTCTATGTGTATTTTTCAGTTGCTTATGATTACAAACATGTTAGAACAACACTCATACGCAGAGAGGGCGAAAACTTCTTAGGAAAAAATATCAAAATTGCCATTGGGCAACGGGACTCTGGATTCCTCGTTGCTCTTTTCTGCATTTCCTAAAATTAATTAAAGTGATCTTTTGCCATTAGAATAAAACATTTAAAAGCTATTTAGATAAAAGTTAAATTTAAAGGCATGGAGCTCTTTTTAAATCCACTTTCTAATTCAAAATGCCACATGACGACAGCTCCAGACTACTTTTCTAAACTGAGTTCAGATGAGCCTTTCAGGGACCAATATATACTAGGATGTGGTTTCTGCAGCAGAGACAACCATGGATGGCTTTCATCTATGCTGGGCATGTAGTATGGAAGTAATACCTTTCAAAAGATCCCTGGATTTGGCTGAGAGGCCTTCTTTGGGGCTTTCCATGATGCTGAAGAGCCAGTCAATGAACTAGGGTGAAGAGAAAAGAGCAGGATCAGTGAAGACAGTCCCACTAATAGCAAGAGGCCAGTTGGGGCCCTTTGGCCTGCATCCATGCATATCAGTGCAGGAGCTCTGAGGTAAATACCGACCTGAGCCGGAGGAGTGGAGAGGAGAAGGGGGCCAGGCATAAGAGACGGAGAAGTTGGACACAGCCACCATTTAGTCCAATGGCCCAGCAAAGTCAAATCTCCTTCCCCTGCTAAACATCCTGAGATCTACTATAGATTTTTAACTGTGAGGTAAACACGGGTCCAGAGGTCTCTTGTGTGCCATGAACTTTCTCTCTCATCACTCTGAGAGCACCAGGGAGGTTAAGAACCTTGCCCAAGTCCACTCCCAATGAACAGCAGAATCCAGACTTGAACCCAACTGCACCTGACTTCAGAGCCTCACGTTCCTTCTCTGCGTCATGCTGCCTGATTCCGCGTGCATCTAGGCCCAGACTCATAGGGCGGGTGGTAAATAGGGAAACACATCAGACAGAAGCCTCTGTTTCTAACATAAGACATTCTGTAGATGAGAACAATTTGTGCCCAAATGGATACAAAACATGATGTTGAAATCCAAGAGAGAGGCATAAAATAATTTACTAGATAGAGCCAAATGTGTTAACTGCAAATAAATCCTGCAAATGAGGTAGAAACTCAGACTACTCACGAGTTTGACTGATTTCCCAGGGTAAAGACAAAATTGGTTTTGAATTAGATACAAGGTAATTTCATTAATGACTGAACGTTGTCAATCTTGACTCATGAAAAACACATACATTAGTCACGGGTACCGGGTATTTTAACTCTGGACATAGAAACTGGTTTGAAGAAAGAGTAAAACCGAAAGAAAATATTCCTAATTCTCTGCTTTAATTAAATTAAATTTTTTTTCTCCTTCTTCTTCTCAATTTTGTTTTTTAATATCCTACTGGTAAGTAAATAAATCAAGCACTACACATACATAATAGATGCAAGATGTCTACATTGTAGTCCAAAGTGATGATGGTGTCTGGGGCCAGAAAAAACATGAGGGGATTCCACACTTAAAAATTTGTTTTGATTTAAAGTTAAATGGAAAACATAACATTTGGGATAATACTAATGCTTAAGAAAACAAAGGCATTTTAATTGAGATGCTCAGCGGAGTTGCGCACGGCTAACCTGTGGGTCCGTAGTTCAGAAATATTTTTAAAGACTAACGTTCAGATTTTTAACAGTAAGCTACAGAAAGTTGGCTTTAAGCTTTCAACTTCGCAGAAATCCAGTTTTCATTAAATGGGATTCAAAGAAGAATCTTTCAATCAACTGTATTAAAGACAGTTCAGAGCCATTTCATGAGAAGCACAGGAAGCACGGTATTTTCAGATGCTCCGCACGACGGCTAAGAGCCCGGAGTAACTCGACATTAAAAACCAAATGGTGCTTCCTACAGTCTGATTTTCCTGGGGGCAAGGGTGATGACCTTTTCAAATTTCCCCATGTCACCTAGCACAGGCCAGGAGCATGACGGGCCCCTGGAATGTGGCTGTAGGATGGCATGAGCTATGAGGAACCTTAAATATGCTACAAGAACACCGACACTCCAGATTCCCGTTTCCCCGACCCAACCCCCAGGCATGGTTGGTCATTCCCTCCATTATCCACCACCACTGTATTCTCCTTATGCAATCTTGCAGCCTTGAACTTGCCTTCCCGTCTGTCCTCCCTCTGACATTCTGAACGCTCAGGGACTTACTCATCCCGTCACCCCCAGGATCAAGAACACATGTGCCTTTAATAACGGAAGGCAAGTAAAAGCTCCTCTTTCTGCCTCACCTCCAACTGTAAGCAAGTTATTGCTCTTGTCTGTGTTGCTGTTTTTAGCCAGCAGTTAGCCTCACTCTCTGAGGCGGAGTATGAAAACCCGTGGTGTGATGCCCATTTCACTTTAACTCCCAACCTCAGTTCTACTGTAGAAATTGCTAAGGAGAAAATGGCCATCAGGGCGGGCGGCTGCGAACCTCACCTTCTGGGTCTGTTCCTTCCATGGCTCTTTCTGCAGCAGAATAGGCATGCTACTGGGAAGGAGAGTGAGAGTCTCCTGCAGAGTGACCCTGTGCATTGGACTCCTGCCAAGGAAGCTCGAAACTGACCCAGCTGGGCCATTTTCCTGATGCCATGGCAACCAACTGGCACTAAGGCCAAGGAGGAGAGGGGCCGCGTGGTCTGCCCATGCAACCACTGCGATTGCAAATATCAGCAACAAGAAGTCCAAAGCCTACAAAGGAAATAGACACAAGGTTAGGTCACACGTTTTAACAATTTAAAGTAACACATGTACACATACACAGCCCCTATCATGACGCAGTGTTACCTTCCCCTTCACCCCAGAAGAGGAACCAGACTGAACGGCAAACTCCATTTCCACACTTAATAGACATTCTAGGATTTTGGAAGGTTTTAGGGATCCTCTTTTTTAAGACAGTTTCATTATTATTGCTCTAATAATGCAGGGGAACGTTATTTAATTCCTCATCATATTGAGATCCAGACACTCCTCTGTTTTGGGGTTTCCAAAGAGACTAAAGAATTCATTAGGAGGGATACGGAAAGGGATATTTAGATTTATTGTTATGTAGCCCCAACTGAGTTTTAGAAAAACGTATAGTCTGATTCTATTTTGAACAACAAATGACTCTCCACATGTATCTTATTTTTCTGTTCTCGATATTTAAATATTTGAGTGGCAAACACTTGATTTTGTTCCATGAATGCTGAAAATATAAGCATTAAGACAAAATAAAAACAAGCATTCTTGGCGGGAGTCACAACAAATCATTAGGCACTTTTTAAAACATATTTTTGAGTATTAGCAGGCATGAAATGAAATACACTCCCCAAACTCTCGATCCCGACCTACATCTATAATCCCAAGGTTTTTTTTTTTTTTTTTCTTTTCAATTTTACTTCCAGTGTAGTTAACATTCAGTGTTCTATTAGTTTCAGGTGTGCAATATAGGGACTCAACACTTCCGTGTATTACTCGGTGCTTATCAAGTTAAGTGTACTCTTGAATCCCATACACCTATTTCACCCATTCCCCGGCCCATCTCCCCTCTGGTAACCATGTGTTTGTTGTCTATAGTTAAGAGTCTGGTTTTTTTGGTTGCTTCTTTCCCGCCCCTGCTTTGTTTTGTTTCTTAAATTCCACATAGAGTGAAATCATATGGTGTTTGTCTTTCTCTGACTGGCTTATTTTGCTTAGCACTGTACTCTCTAGATCCATCCATGTTGTTGCAAATGGCAAGATTTCATTTTTTCTTATGGCTGAGTAATATTCCATTGTGTGTGTGTGTGTGTGTGTGTGTATGCATGTGCATATGTATGTGTATATATTTATGTGTATATGTATACATATATATGTACACATACATACACACACACATACACACACACACCACACCTTCTTTATCCATTCATCTACTGATGGACACGTGGGCTGCTTCCATACTTTGGCTATTGCAAATAATGCCTCAGTGAACACAGGAGCACTTATATCGCTTTAAATTAGTATTTTTGTATTCTTTGGGTAAATACCCAGTGATGTGATTGTGATTACTGGATCATAGGGCAGTTCTATTTTTAATTTTTTGAGGAACCTCCACACCATCTTCCACAGTGGCTGCACCAGTGTGCATTCCCATCAACAGTGAAAGGATTCTCCGTATCCTCACCAGCATCTGTTGTTTCTGGAGGTTTTGATTTTAGCCATTCTGACAGGAATGAGGTGATATCACCTTGTGGGTTTGATTTTCGTATCTCTGATGATGACTGATACTGAGAATCTTCTTATGGGTCCGTTGGCCATCCGGATGTCTTCTTTGGAGAAATGTCTCTTTTATGTTTTCTGTCCATTTTTTAATTGGATTGTTTGGGGGTTTTTGATGTTGAGCTGTAGAAGTTCTTTATATATTTCGGATACTAACCTCTTGTGGGCTAGGTCATTTATAGATATCTTCTCCCATTAAGTAGGTTGATGATTCGTTTTTGTTAACTGTTTCCTTTGCTGTGCAGAAGCTTTTCATTTTGATGTAGTCCCAATAGTTTATTTTTGCTTTTGTTTCCCTTGCCTCAGGAGACATATCTAGAAAGATGTTGCTATGGCTACTAAGAGAGAAATTACTGCCTGCGCTCTCTTGTAGGATTTTAATGGTTTCAGGTCTCACATTTAGGTCCTCAATCCATTTTGAGTTTATTTTTGTGTATCAGAAAGCGGACCAGTTTCATTCTTTCGCATATTGCTGTCCAGTTTTCCCAACACCATTTGTTGACGACGCTTTTTCCCAGGGCATATTCTTGCCTCCTTTGTTGACGATTGACTGACCATATAATTGTGGGTTTATTTCTGGGCTGTCTGTTCCATTCCATTGATCTATGTGTCTGTTTTTGTGCCAATACCATACTGTTCTGTAATTACAGCTTTGTCATGTAACTTGAAGTCTGAAATTGTGATATCTCTGTGATATCTTTTGTGGTTCCATAAACATTTTAGGATTGTTTGTTCCAGTTCTGTGAAAAATGCTGTTGGTATTTTGAGAGGGATTGCATTAAATCTGTAGATTGCTTTGGGTAGTATGGACATTTTAAAAATATTTGTTCTTACAATCCACGCACATGGAATGTCCTTCCATTTCTTTTCATCATTTTCATTTTTTTCATCAATGTTTTATAGTTTTCAGATTACAAGTCTTTCAGTTCCTTGGTTAAGTTTATTCCTAGGTATTTTGTTATCATTGGTGCAATTGCAAATGGGATTGTTTCTTAATTTCTCTTTCTGCTGCTTCATTATCAGTGTATAAAAATGTAACAGGTTTTTGTATTGATTTTGTATCCTGCAACTTTACTGAATTCACTTATCAGTTCTAGCAGTTTTTGGATGGAGTCTTTTGGGTATTGTATATACAGTATCATGTCATCTACAAAATGTGAAAGTTTGACTTCTTCCTTACTGATCTGGATGCCTTTTATTTTTTTGCTGACTGCTGTGGCTCTCAGTTTTCCCCCACTGAGTATGATGTTAGCTGTGGGTTTTTTATATGTGGCTTTCTTATGTCAAGGTATGTTCCCTCTGAACCCATTTTGCTCTAAATCCATTTTGTTGAGTTCTTTTTTTTTTTTTTAATCATGAATGGATGTTGTATTTTGTCAAATGCTTTTAGGCATCTATTGAAAGGATCATAAGGTTTTTATCCTTTCTCTTATTGACGTCTTGTACCATGTTTGATTTGCAAATACTGAACCCCCCTTCCATCACAGGAATGAATCCCACTTGACTGTGGTGAATGATTTTTTTAATGTATTGTTGGATTCAGTTTGCTAATATTTTGTTGAGAATTTTTATATCTATGTGTATCAGAGATATGCAAAGTTTCTACTGAAAAATCTACTGATAGCCTTCTGGAGTTTCTCTTGCACATAATTGTCTTCTTTTCCCTTGCTGCTTTTAAAATTCTCTCTTAATCGCCACTTTTTGCCATTTTGATTACTTTGTGTCTTGGTGTGGACCTCCTTGGATTGATTTTGTTGGGAGCTCTTTGTGCTTCCTGTATCTGAATTTCTGTTTCCTTCTCCAGATTCTCAAAGATTTCAGCTATTTAAACACAAAATTTTTTTTAATGTTTATTTATTTTTGAGAGAGACAGTGCACGAACAGGGAAGGGAGGGGCAGAGAGAGAGGGAGACACAGAATCTGAAGCAGACTCTAGGCTCTGGACTGTTAGCACCGAGCCCGATGTGAGGCTTGAACCCACGAACTGTGAGATCATGACTTGAGCTGAAGTCGGATGCTCAACCGACTGAGCCACCCAGGTGCCCCAGCTATTATTTCTTCAAATAGAGTTTCTTCCCCCTTTTCTCTCTTCTTCTGGGATCCCTATAATGCAAAAGTTATTACACTTGATGGAGTCACTGAGTTCCCGAAGTCTGTTCCCATTTTGCCTAATTTTTTTCTTCTCTCCTGCTCAGCTTGATTACTTTCCATTACTCTTTCCTCCAGGTTGTGGACTCATTCTTCTACTGCCTCTCTAGTCTGCTATTTATTCCATCCAGTGTATTTTTAATTTCATTTATCATGTTCATCATCTGTGATTGGTTCTTCTTTATCTCTTTATTAAGGGTGTCACTGGGGCGCCTGGGTGGCTCAGTCGGTTAAGCGGCTGACTTCGGCTCAAGTCATGATCTCACAGTTTGTGAGTTCGAGACCTGCATCGGGCTCTGTGCTGACAGCTCAGAGCCTGGAGCCTGCTTCAGATTCTGTGTCTCCCCCTCTCTCTACCCTTCCCCTGCCCATGTTCTGTGTCTCTCGATAATAATAAACATTAAAAACAATTTTTTTAAAAAAGGGTGTCACTGATGTCGTCCACTCTTCTTTAAAGGCCAGTGAGTATAATCATTACTTTAAATTCTCTATCTGGCATATTTATCTGTTTCACTTAGGACTCTTGCTGTGGTTCTTATTCTTTCAGTTGAGACGCATTCTTCAGTCTCCTCATTTTGTCTAACTCTCTGTGTCTGTTTCCGTATGTTAGGAAAGTCAGCGATGTCTCCTGCTCTTGAAAGTAGTGGCCTTATGAAGAAGAGGTCCTGTACACTCTGCAGGGCAGTTTTCCCCATTTACCGGAACCTGGTGCTTCCGAGGTATCTCCTATGTGTGTTGTGTGCACCCTGCTGTTGTCCCTTGACTGCTTTTTCCTTCAGTCCAGTCGTCTTCGGTGGGTCTCTTTGCCGGTCACTGGCAGCGTTTGGTCCCTGTGGTGTCTGTGGGCCAGTCCCGTGCTGCTTTGGGCTTCAGTTGAGTCAGACTAGGCATTTGCCAGAGATGCAGGGGCACCAAACTGCAGAGCACTTTCCCTGTGTCTTCCGTCCCCCGAGAAGCTTCTTTGGTTGACGCGCAGGGCCAGCAATCAGACCAGTCGTCTGCCCCCAGCCCATAGGTGGGGCAACAAGCTGACTGGTGTGTGTGGCTATCTTTCTCGCTCTCTCTCCAAGGCTGGAGTCGCTTTGGCGTGGCGCTGCTCCCTGTCAGGGCCGCTTGCACACTTCCAGGCGGGTGGCTTCGTTTTGGGTGGGCTCTGGCCAAGAGCTTACTGGAGGAGGTGGATCTGCAACGGGCTCGGGAGGGCGATGCGCAAAGCCCCCCCCAAGACGTGTGCGCCAGGGTGAGGGGACATGCCACCGCATCTGGGGCCACAGTGGACGCGCACGGTCTGCAAAGCGTTCAGGGGTAGGGCATGCAGTTGGACCCAAAGGCGCTCAGGTTTGCTGTGAAAGGAGACCTACCGCCACCACGGGGTCAGCCCGTGCAGATCTGCAAAGAGCGGGTGGGCGGGCCACCCAGTTTCAGCGAAGTGCGTGCCCGGCTTCCACGGAGGGTACCTGCCGCCGCCACCGCTGCCAAGGCCCCGCAAAGCGTGGGTCGGCAAAGTCTGAGCAGGTCTGGGGAAGGGGATCCGCAGCAATGGAACTGGAGCAAGCCCAGCTGGGGGGTGGGGGCGGGTCGGAGCTGATCCACGAAGCCTGGGGAGGCAGGGGCGGGCGCAGCGTAAGCAAGTTAGACAGCGAATGCGGGTGCCAAACTGGTTCCTACAGGTGGCGCTGTGTTCACGCTGCGGAAGGAGATGGTGTCTACCGCTCCTTCGTTCCTGGAGGAGTCACCCCGTGGACACTACCCCTCCGGACAGGGACATGCTCTGAGAGGAGTAAATAACTCTCCTTCCCTTATGCCCCAAGCAGTTTTCAAATTGCTGCCTCTATGCGGTACCTTCAGAGGCCATTTGTTGTGCTGTCTCCTTAACGGCAGGGACTCGGTTTCCTCTGAGCGGCCAGGCTCTCCCAGAACCCCACCTGCTGATTTTTATTTTTTATTAAAAAAAAATTTTTTTTAACGTTTATTTATTTTTGAGACAGAGAGAGAGCATGAACAGGGGAGGGTCAGAGAGTGGGAGACACAGAATCTGAAACAGGCTCCAGGCCCTGAGCGGTCAGCACAGAGCCTGACGCGGTGCTCGAACTCACGGACCACGAGATCATGCCCTGAGCCGAAGTTGGACACTTAACCGACCAAACCACCCAGGCGCCCCCCACCTGCTGATTTTTAAAGTCCCAAACTTTAAGTCCTGCTCGTTGGAAGAACTCACAAAATTAGCCCCCTCTAAACTCACGAGATCAGCCCCCTCTAGTTTTCAAAGCCAAATGTTACGGGGGTTCATCTTCCCCACGTGGGCTCCCTCCACGCCTATGGTCTGTTTATGCCCCCACCCCCGTCTCTGCCCCTCCTTCCCTCTTCAGCGTGGCCTCTTCTCTAGATTTAGTTGAGGAGTTTGTTCTGTCAGCCTTTGGGTCATTTCCCGGACTATCGACACTGATGTGAGTGTTCTCCAGTGTCCGTGGGATAAGGTGAGCTTAGGGTCCCTCCTATTCTGCCATTTTCTCAGACTATATATCTCCACAAGCATTCCAAACCATCTGTCTAGGACCCATCCATCTAGCGTTGAGACTAATCTAAATGCTCACAGACATGGTGAGAACAAGGGCCTCCTCCGACTTGTGATTTAAACGACACTCCTGTTTATCTGTATTTTCTAGGTTTTAAACAATTTTTTTAAATACATAAATAAAGATGTCTGCAAGAAAACAGAACATTGGCAAAACCTTAGGAGATCAGAAGGAAAAGAAGACAGATTCTGCTCGGTAAACACAAAGCTTAAGAGGTCTTCATTACTTCCTTAAAATTCATCTCACCGATTACAATTTCAAGCCTATACCCAACTCTTCTACAAAACTCGTGAGCATTTCAAACAACATCCCAGCTTATACAAATGCCACTCACACCGTCAGCGGGATACCTGTGAATGAGTCTTGCCTACAGAAAAAAAAAAAAAAAATCTACTACTAAAAAATGCACAGTGGGCAGCAAAGTCAAGAAAATAAGCAGAGTGGAAAGTGTTGTCTTCCTTTTATGCATTAACCTTTTCTATTTTCATTTACCTACTATCAATGGTTGTGAATCTTTTTTGGGTCACACTTCATATTACAGGTGTGCTGAAACTCCTCTCATGCACATTAAGCATCGGCGCGAACACAGATTACTTGCATACGCTTCAGGAACCTCTTCAAACCAGGTGTTTGAAGACATTCTTTGGGCCGGTACAAATGTACCCCCCCTCCTTGGTGGGGTCAAGGCCAAGGGCACAGAACCCTGGGTTCCCTCATCAGCTAGTGTCCTCTGTGTTCTGCCTGTTGAGGAACTTTTTCTGTTGAAAATATTTTTTGAAGGGCAGCCCTAGCAGTCTTTGGGAGCCAGGCAAGCACATCCATTTCTTTGTGACATCGGAGAGTTATCACCATCATTTCCCAAAAATAAAAAGAATGGGGGGGGGGGGGGGGGGCGGGGAAAACAAGCAAGTAGCAACCTTTTTTTTTTTGTCTTTGGGGAGAGCAAACATAAGTTGTACATTTTAAGAAAGCCCCAGGTCACGCCTCTAGATTGTACCTCGTCAAGAGCCACGTTCTGAACAGAGGTAGACTGGTATGCAAGGTTTCTGATGTAACCCATCAGTTCCAAGAGCCATTCCATTCTCTTCAACACGCCTGAAACAGAAAAGGATGTTTTTGTACCAGACCACGGTTTTCCTATGAAATGTAAGACCCATCAGTAATAGCCATCATAACTAAAGCATAACACCCAGTGAGGATTCCATGAAACGGTTTCAAATCCTCTTGCAATACGTGAGACCTGTGATTTTGCGCGAGAGTTCTTTGACGCTCTGTGTGTCAGAGGGACCGTATTTGTGTCTTTCTTTTCAAAAGGTAATCTGTTCTTCAAAACTGCGCCCCCACTAGTGATAAAATGCACTTATTGGAGTTTCTCTCTCAGCATTAAACACACGAGGAGAAATCTGGCATGCCAACAAGTCAGTAATGTTGACCGTTGTTTTTATAGGTCTTCCTTTAACTTAGATGTTCCCATTTTATGCCCAAATCCCGGAGAAAGCCTATCCCAAAGACATAAAAAGAAAAATAAAAGCCAGCTATTATACAGTAACTGGGGGACAAACACCAGCATAAATACTGATTTTTTTTTCCTTTTTTATTTTTTAAAAAGGAGAATTCCCAGCACAGTAAAGATTACTTAAGAAGGCTGTCAAATTTAAGTGAGGAAAAGGAGAACAAGAATTAAATGGGAAGGCCAGCTAGTTAGACCCAAAGGCCCTATCAAATTGAGTTCAGTTCACTTCGCGTATCCTCGTGTTTCACTGGGAACACCTAGTAGATTTCTTCTTGATAAATGCACTTTTGATTTAGAGTAAAAAATCTAGCTTTTCATCACAGGGTCATTTTTCACTGGGCAGACACTAATGCGGATAGGAGACAACTATCTCGATTGCCAAAGAGAACAAATCAAAATTTCCTGTACCGTCTCACAAAGGGCACTACAATTCAGCCTGCTGGTTTTCACTCACCACCTTGAAGATACAAGATGATGAGGAAAATACGGACGATACAGAACCAGAAGTTGCCTAGGGGCACTCGGGTTTCCAGGACCTACCTGATCTACCGAAGCCGGGTGTCATTCAGAAAAGAACGTAGACGTCACGCAACGTGACCAAAAGTGTAGGAGGAGAAATGGGGAGCTGCCCTTTCAGATGACTATTAAAGTATAAATGTCTACGACGGTCTAAAAGTTCTGCCGTCTGATTCACTAGCAGAGAGAGCTTCAGGCCTAGAGCTTCGGGCTTGAGGATGCAGTTAGGGCGCCCAGATTTTATCCCTCTCACCCTTGAGAAGTTCTCTTCTAGAATAACGATGTAATTTTGTTGTGGCTGTTTTCTTTTTCTTTTTTTTTTACTTGTTTGGTAAATAACCACCCAAGGGCCATTCTCAAGAAAACATGAGGCAGAATCAATTGACATCCTGTTTGGGTAATGGAAGCAGGCAGAATCAACCTGATGAACTTGTTGATATCCTCGAGGGCCCGGAGGGCTAAAGACAATATGAAAGTCACCAGCGGAATCCATTTCTATCTCCGAGGTGGGGGTTGGGAGCTGGAACAGGTCTTTCCACTTAAGGTGCTCTTCTTTGGTGGGGGGGGGGGGGGGTAACAAGAGCTCTCCTGTGTCAAGAAGCATTAACCTAGTTTTGAAGTGGAGGAAATAATTATAGCTCAAAGGGGAAGGTAGGCAGGCAGATCTTTCGGTTTCTGCTGTTCGCCCCGGGCTGGCCTTACCTGTGTTGGCATGGCTCACAATCCGGGCTTGGTATAAACCGTGCAGTACCATCCAAGCTAGTGTGTCTTTTTCACGGTGCTGAATAGCAACGCTGAGTATATCAGTCAAGCCCGTCAAGGGGAATCGTCCTTGAGAGACCAAGTACAGTCTGACAAAGGCAGCCTTTTCTACGCTGCTCTGCAAAAAAGCAAACTGTTCTGTTACTATTAAATTAGCTGAAGTCATTATGAAACCTCGAGGCAAGGGCAAAGCAGAAAGGGTGAGTTTAAAGTGGGTTATTATTCCGAATGCTAAAACTGTTCGTTTCCTGCAGCGTGTGACCTATCTGCCTCGTGTGCTAGATTTTAAAGTGTACGTACAGATGGAAGGTTGTAATGTCACCTCCCGTTTTCTCATAAAAACCGTAAGTGATTTCAGGGGTTGATCGGTGGTGATATTTTGTAAGAACACACAAATAATAATAACGACAACTAACAAACACGGTACTTACGTGCCAGGCACCATTAACGTGTATTAACTCAGCAGGTCACAAAGTGCGGTACCCAGACCTCTGAGGGACCCCAAGACCCTTTTAAAGGGTCTGTGGGGTCAAACTATATTCACACTAGTGCCCAAACTCCAGTAACAGTCGCTGTATTTGTCGCTGCTACTTGCAACTTTTTAAAAACCAAGTTTTATTTAAAATGCTCTTGTAAACAATGACAATTATTAGTTTCATCACACCTTTGCCCTTGAGTACACATCTTTTTAATAGCCTGTATAAAACAGGAAGTCCGCAGAAGGGCTTTCTGCGGCATACCCAAGTAGGAGGGTTGTCTCCAGGGAAAACACTTGTGAGTTTGCGCTGTGAACTCAAAACGGCCAGTTTTTTATGGAACACCACTGACCTGCAAGGACGAAGGATAGACAAACTATGGTTATTCAGACTGAGTATTTAACAGACTATTGTCGTTGTTGTTTTCAGTCGAAGAAAGTGGGCCTGTCGCTTCGAGGAAATACTTGGCAGTATTTGTTGCCAATGATAAAACCTGAGCTTTCGTGTGAAAATCTGATTTTTGGAAAATCTGTATTTGCTACGATGAGTTGGCAGCTTCACAATGCATAAAAGGCTTTTCTGAGGATTTTAACCAACGTGATGTTTTGATACGGAATAATGAAATGGATCAACGTGTGGAGGACTTTCAAGACTCAGTGATTCGGTATTTTCCAAATGATTTTGTAATATCGTACATTGGGGAGAAGACCCACAGTGCCAGACAGACCGATGGAGTTTAATATAGCAGAGTATGTCAAGTTCACTGACATGAATTCACATTCTACACCCTGCAACTACCCCGAAGAAAACACGGTTTGTTGAGTTTTGTTGCAACATCAACAACAACAACAGAAAATCCATAATTATCTGTAACTATTGACACACCGTTCCCTTTTCTACCTACATTATTTCTATGAGGCTACATTTCCCCCCCCCCATACTTCACCAAAACAACATTGCAACAGATTAAGTGAAGCAGCAGCCAGAAGTCAACATTAAAGAAATTTCGACGAGAGGACAGATGGAGGAAACAGATCGGCAAAAAATGTAAAACAATGTCACTTTTTCATTTTGTTTTGTTTTCAAAAATTCTTATTTATACTGAGATGCAATGGATTTACTGAAAGAGAGGACCCATTTAAATCAAAGCCCTTTGGAATCCTCAACAACTTTTAAGACAATGAAGTACTCCTGAGACCAGCAAGTTCGAGAAGCCCTGTATTGACCATTTAATTTTCACACCACCCGATGCAGACTACTATCATCCTTCCCTTCAGGAGCACAGAGGTTAAGTAACTTGCTCAGTTAAGGTCACGTGGCTACACTGGCAGAGTGAGAAGTGAAACCAGGAGGTCTGAGCTCTTCACCATTGCCTTATTCTAACTTCCATTCCTTCCAGAAAGGAGTAAAAAGCACGGACCTCGGTAAAACACACTTTTGGGGACCTCAGAACACTATTGAATAATAGAACTTATTTTCGCTAGAACGTGAAAATGTTCTAACTGGTACTTTAAGAACCCGGGTGAGTACCACAGCAACCTTTGGCTCTAGGTACCGCGAAGTAAATTACATGCATTGCTTCCAACTATATTACACGAATATCATAATAACAGGATGTAATAGATTACACGAATGTGATAATTAGGATAATGAATAATTACTGAGTGCTCGCCTCGGGTCAGGTATGTTTCCAAGAACTTAACATGGATTAAGTCATTGTAACTCTCAAACCAACTCTAGGAGGTAGGTGCTATTATCTTTCTTTCGTAGATGCGGAAACTGAGGCAGGTTATGAAACGTGACCAAGGTCACACTGCTAGTAAATTACAGAGCTGGATTTCAAACCCGACCGGTGAGGCTCTATAGTTCCTTCTCTCATGCGTTTCCTCATAGTGTTCGTCCTTGCTTCAACTCATCTCCAAAACCTGATATTCCAAATGGTCTAGCAGGGGTCCTCAAACCTCAGGATGCAGCACAATCACCTGGAGGGACTGTTGAACCACACTCCTGGGCCCCACCTCTGACTCAGCAGACCTGAAGTGGGACTCTAGAATTTTCATTTCCAGTCAGCTCCCAGGCTTATGCTGCTGGGTTCAAGGGACCCCATTTTGAGAAGCAGTGCTACACGATGCAGAAATTCAAGGATTCAACTGAACCTGCCATCTTGAGCGAAGTAAATGGTAAGAGGTCCACCAGCTGGATAAGGGCCCATAATTCTCTAGACCTTTGCTATTACCTGGTATGCAGGGTTGCCATTGGAATAAGTATGTCCATTGGGATATACTTATACTAAAAAAAAAAAAAATCATTGTTTACAGGCAATTCAAATCTAATAAGACATCTATCATGCTAACTAAATGTGGCAACTTTATTGGTATGTTACTCACTCATCCTTTGGGTGTGGGTACCAGGAGCACTTGTTCATTAGCTGTGTCCGTGCTAACGGTGCTTGTTTTTCAATTAGCCACCTTTCTTCATTACAAAAGGATAAGTACCAGGTGAGAGAAAATAAATTTAAAAATAAGACTACTTCATGGTTTCCGCGCACCGCAAGCTTTTCAGCCAGAATATTCCCATGCTTCTGGATTTGGTATTGAAGACGTTGCCCTGCGCTTACGTTTGCCCACAGGTGACACTAAAATGTTCTTGACAAAGTGGGATTAGGTAGGTTAAAAAGCCATTCATCTATCTAGCCATCCATTCCATGAGGCTGAGCATGAGACCCCACAGTGAAGCAGGGATAGTTTCCTGAAATTATCCGGTAAGAAAGAAGAGGCAAAAGTAGCTTCAATCAAAAAGGATAAACCATCTCTTCAACTGTAAGTCCCACTTCAATAACGGAAATAAATACAGAGATATGTTATTACCTCAGTAATCTGGGCAACTCGATTGGCTTCATCATCTGTCATTTCTGAGAGGCATTTTGCTACGCTGATATATAGCTCTAGATCATTTCTCTGGTAAGGAAAAATCACAAGCAGGTCAAAATACAACGTAAGATAACAGATATATTCTCAATGTTCCGACAAATTATTAGATTTGCTTATCTCCATGAACAGCAGTCTCTGAGATTTTAATCAAACCAGAACATATGGCCAGTTTTTGGCACTAAAAAAAACCATTTTTCCGGGGCACCTGGCTGGCTCAGTCAGTAGACCACATGACACTTGACCTAGGGTGTTGAGTTCAAGCCCCACGTTGCGCATAGAGCTTACTTTAAAACAGCAGCAACGACACAATCTTTCCTATTATTTTGTTCGGCTGTACTTTTTCTCCTTATCAGAATCCATCATTCCACACAGATTTTTAACTTCTTCGTAAAGCTGCAAAGAAGTTAAATAATTCAGAAGTATATTGCGTCACTTGATAGAAGTCATATATTGGACAACATGCTCAGAGATTCTCCAGGTCTAACGCGTAAGGGTTTCTGTGCTTGCTCGTCTCTGACAGGCATATGGTAAAAGGCCTGGCCGCATATTTCCTGGTGTAGCACTGGTTAACCCATTTCTAAGCTTGCTCAAAACGTTGGTTCTAAATATTCAACCTCAATTTAGATCTTGGAAGCAAACACATTCTTAGTGCAAAATGCGGTTATTTTCTTCCTAGCCTTCCCACCACATTCTTAAAACATACACCTCCCTGCTTTGCCAAAAGGGCTTAAAAAAAATCCCAAACATAAATGGTCAGGAATGTAAATATTTTTGTTCCTCACCCGAATCTTCTTTGGCAGAAGGTCAAAAATCTTCCCGGTGGCTTCGCAGAGCAGACTCCAGAGGTGGTGGGCAGGGCTGGGCAGTTTCATGGCCTGACTCAGGCCCTGTAAGGCACTCATGCATAACTCGGGATTGGGAAGTGGGGAAGCCGTTTTAAACACCGCCACCATTAAGTTTTCAACAAAACCCGCCATCTGTTCGTCTGAGACGTGTTTTATCCACAGAGGTGTAGAAACCAGGAGGTATTTCTTGACGTTCAACTGGAAGCAAACCAAAAGAGGTCAGGAAGAAACGGGCCAAGTCTGGGCCTGCAGGGTTTAAAACCTCAAGGTCACCCCTGTGTTTGAGGGCACATTGAGAGATGAAAGGTTCAAGGTTACTTCCCTGCCCCTCATTTCCCCCCAGCTTCACGGTCCAGTGGGCCACCGCTGCCTGCGATTGTGGCCACTGCAGTGACCTGTGGTCCGGGGCAACTTGTGTATATACGGTATCTGCCAATCCATCTGGGAACCACTCAGCTTAAGCCTGGGATTGTTTTGGGGAGGGGAACAAAATGCTAACTTTTGAAAGTACTTGACAGTTGCTATTTAGTCTTAAAAGGTCACATTCTCTGGCAAAAAATAAAAATAAAAATAAATAATAATAATAATAAAATAAATCCTGGACATGAAAGCCTCATCTGCAGGAAATCGACTGGCCAGAGTATCTGATATTATTAATTTCTTCTTCTAGGAAGCATAAGGAGATAAGGAGAACTGGCATGCTAGAACCATTTTTGACCAAAGAGGAGCAGCAGCTGAACACGTAGAACTGACCCGTGGCATGCTGGAGGTCATGAGGGCCGGAAAGGCGCATGGTTAAAAAGAGCTCTGTGTCAGAGACGTTAAGAGAGGAGGCTTCAAAAATTCTTCGAAACGGGTGGAGCATGCGGTCTGTCCCGGCCCTGGGGGCTGAGGGCAGGCGCCGACCAGACATGGAGCACCTGCTCCGTTCCGCTATCGGCGCGTAAATCCACAGACAAACATGAATGCATAACAACAGAAAATGGCATTGGAACAGTGGGAATCAGCAGTTTTGCACAGGACACTTTGTGAGATGCTGTTTACCGTCGCGTGCCTGAAGTGGGGACAAGATTGAACAAGAAGAGTTTGGTGCTTTGAAAAGTGTGCAAGCTGCTAGTGAACTCTATTCTCTATCAGGACAAGTAACTGAAATTGATGAAGCTTTTGCAGAAAATACAGGACTTGCCAACAAATCTTGGTATGAAGATGGTTGGCTGATCAAGGTAACACTCAGTAATCCTTCAGAACTGGGTGAATTAATGAGCGAAGAAGCATATGAGAAATACAGAACACCTACTGAGGAGTGAAAATGGAACCCCTAAATAAACCAGTATGAAACAATTTAATCTGGCATAGTTGTCCTAAATTAGTGCTGCAGAGAGGATTTAAAATAGCAACTTTTAGCAATACCAGTGCAAAAAGAAACTACTTGCAACAATGTTAATGAAAGAAAACACCCTTAACTTTCTGATGATTGCAGATAAACACAATATGTATCTTTTTTGCAACACCCTATGATTTTTAGGCGAGGCTCCAGTTATAATATGGAGAATCCTGAAATTATCTGTGGTTAAAAACTAGTTCCAAAGATTATGTAATTCAAGGATAACATTGTCATCTTAAGCCTTTGGCAACTGTTATTTAAAATTTTTTTTTAATGTTTGCTTATGTTTGAGGGAGAGAGAGACACACAGAGCATGAGCAGGGGAGGGTCATAGAGAGAAGGAGACACAGAATCTGAAACAGGCTCCGGGCTCTGAGCTGTCAGCACAGAGCCTGATTGCGGGGCTCGAACTCATGGGCCGTGAGATCATGACCTGAGCCAAAGTCGGACGCTTAACCAACGGATCCACCGAGGCGCCCTCCGATCGTTTTTTTAAAAAGACAAGGTATATAATTAAGAAAATGAATTCACCAACTTAATTTGTTAATTAACAACGATGTTAAGAAAAGTCCATTCTCAAAGACAAATGCCAAAAAGTAACAGATCTGAAAGAGAAGTGGAAGGATAACTGAATTCTAGAAAGATTTTTGAGGTAAACAAAACAGGCTGTTCAAGTTCTACCTGGTTCAAAAGAAAAGAGGAGTTAATAGAACAGTGTCTGAGACACGGACTTTGGAGTCAGCCAGACTCACTCCCAGATATTAGCGACATAAACTTTGTTTGATCCCAATTTGCCTCAGTTTGTCAACCTGTAAACTGGAAACAATAAAATCTACTTCTCACAAGTGGAATAAGCTGGGCACAAAAGACTTCATATTGTGTGATTCCACTCTAAAGAATTTCTAAAGTTTACATGAAATTTAAGTTTATATGAAAGTTGTTTAAAAAAGGAAAAATTAGAGGGGCACCTGGGTGGCTCAGTTGGTTAAGGGTCCAACTCTTGATTTTGGCTCAGGTCATGATCTCACAGTCATAAGAGCCCGACATCAGGCTCTGCACTGGGTGTGAAGCCTGCTTGGGATTTTCTCTCTCTCTCTCTCTCTCTCTCTCTCTCTCTCTCTCTCTCTCTCCCCCACCCCCCCTCCCCCATTCATGCGCTCTCCTTCTTCCTTTCAAAAAAAAGAAAAAAAAGGGAAAAATTATAGAGACTAAAAGCAGATCAGCAGTAGCCTGGGTCTGAGACTGGGAGCGGGGATTGTCTCCAGGTTGGCACGACGGAACTTTCTGGGGGTGATGGAAATATTGGTGATGGATAAAAATGTACAAATGTACCAGAACCCATCAAACTGTACATTTAAAATAGCCATATGTTATGCAATATAAATTATAACTCGAAGATGTAAAAAAACACTTGTGTGTCAGGGTCGAAGACAGATTCAGTCTGATGTCAGGAAGTGCTCACTGAGTGCTTACAAGTTGCAGGTACGTGGCCACTACTCAGTAATGGCGGCTACACGGGACGTGCTTGGAGCAGACAGCTCATGACAGCTGCTGACGCAAAGGATGCAGACCTCAGTCACGTCTCCCTTCAGTGGAAGAGAATTAGAATACGAAGCAGAGCTTAAAAGAAAAAAAGTACCCAACAGGAACTGAAGGTACAAGACTGAGGAACTAATACAAGAGCTTGGCAAAATTCTCAAAGAACTAAAGCCTCCTGAATAGAAGAGGTCATTTAACTTACGATCAATTGGTAAACCTCTAAGGGATCATGGAGTGTGGTTTTTCTTGTCCCACCTTAGAATATACTCAAAATTATACAATTTACTAATTGCTTTTCTTTAAGCCATCTTATCCCATTCTTCCTACTTACCCTTGGCCTGTACCCTGGAAGGTGCTGGCTCCCTCTTTCTGTCGTAGACACCAGGCTAGGTCACTTCTTCCTCAGCACTTTGTTCAAGCCCAACACGCTGGCAGAGATGTTTCTACACCCTCCCACCTACGTGCCCCGTGTCTCTAACTTGATGCTTGATGAGATCCTACCAAGCCTTCAAGGCTCACCTGAATTGCTGTCTTTTCTGTGAAAGGGAGGGATCATATTGGATTTGCCTGTTTCTTAATACCTCCTAAATATCAGGGGCACCAGGGTGGCTCAGTTGGTTGAGCATCCAACTTTGGTTCAGGTCACGATCTTGTGGCTCATGAGTTCGAGCCCCGCATCGGGCTCTCTGCCATCAGCACAGAGCTCGCTTTGGATTCTCTGTTCCCCCTGCCCCTCCCCTACTCACATGCACATGCTCGCTCTCTTTCTCTCTCTCTCAAAAAGAAACAAATAAAACCAAAATCAATGAATATCATTTATATGATATTGTATACCATATAAATAAACCTAGGCTCTCATAACTCCATCACTTTCTAGCTGGAGGATCTTGAGAAAGGAACTTTCATATCTCTGACCATATTTTCCTTTTTCATAATCAAGGGGAGCTGAAAGCATGAATGTCGACGGCTGGGGCAGAGTTCTGCGTCACAATCTTCCCATCTGCTGGCCAGCTATTGCCAAGCCCCCAATTTTTACCAAATCACATGTGGCCACTCTTTGACTTTGAGAACATACGCCCAGATGAACGTTAATCTTTCCCCAAAGAACCAGATCCTCCTGTTGCCCAACACCCTTAATTGCTACATACACTCAGACTATGGATCAGTGGTGGCATCACCCACAGTCCCAACAGCGCAGCTGCATTCTGGGATGATTGCGCCTGCGTCACCATAATTTCCAGGCACAGCTGCTGTATTTCTTCTCCTGAAAGAGAAGAAGAGAGTATTGGTAACACAGCTCCTTCTCGGATTCCTTTTCAGGCTTCCATGTCTTAAATCAAAGCCTCTGCTTGTGTGACATCTACAAGTAACAGAACGTGAGTAAACCGAAAGGTATTTCAAGTGACCTTTTCATTGTGAGTCAAAGAATGTGCCCACAGGCAGCAGCAGGTTAAGCCTTGGAACTGGCAAGGGCCATGATCTAGCTTGGGAAATTTCTCTTCCGGTGTCCCAAGAAACCTAAATAATCGAGGGGCGCCTGCCCGGGTGGTTTAGTCGGTTAAGCATCTGACTTCGGCTCAGGTCATGATCTCATGGTTTGTGGGTTCGAGCCCCACGTCGGGCTCTGTGCTGACAGCTCAGCGCCTGGAGCCTGCTTCGGATTCTGTGTCTCCTTCTCCATCTGCCCCTGCCCCGCTCGTGCTCTCTCTCTCTCAAAATAAATAAATAAATAAATAAATAAATAAATAAATAAATAAATAAATAAATTAAATAAAATAAAAATAAAAAAAGAAAACTAAATAATCAAATACCATGAAAAATTTGAGAAAACACGAGCTAAAACGCTTAGCCTCTGTTTTCCTCTCCTTCTACCTTGCATTCAGTTCATAGAAAAATCCGTTTAGGTCTGGAAGGACTTAAAAATGTTGCCACACTCCCCAGTGATCGAGTCCTTTTAGTAGCCTGATCCCCATCAGCATATGTATTTTCCCAACCCCTTTTCTTCTTTTTTCCAAGGATTTTTACTAAAACATAAACATTTTTAATACAGCATACAAAAGTAGGGGGAGGCTCAGGAGAACACAATTTTTTTTTTTTTTTAAATTTTCGAGAGACAGAGAGAGACAGAGCAGGGAAGGGGCAGAGAGAGGGAGACACAGAATCTGAAACAGGCTCCAGGCTCTGAGCGGTCAGCACAGAGCCTGACATGGGGCTCGAACTCACAAACTGCGAGATCCTGACCTGAGCTGAAATCGGACGCTCAACCGACTGAGCCACCCAGGCGCCCCAGGAGAACAAAATTTTTCATGAAATCTCCAGAAACACGGTATCGGTGACGTCATATCTTACACAGGTATTAGGTTCAACTGAAAGCATTTAAGTGAAAAACTGTACAGAGTCAGAATCATCTTTGAGCAACCTCTCAGCTGCATATAAATTATGGTTTATGAGGCGTTTTGTATATCGTGAGCACCGTACTGTAAACAATAGTAGGCAAACACACACACACACACACACACACACACGATATTATAGCATTGTTAAAAAATTGTTCCCCCCCCCCCCCGACCAATGCCACTTTTTCTTGAGATTGGGGCCGGCGGGGGGTGGGGGGATGTACATGGGATTAAATGTGCATATACTAACTCCACAAAAGAGGTTGCTGGGGTGTGCATTCCCTCTGCCTCTCATCACAAAGAATCTGTGGTAGACAGAATAACGGCCCTCAAAGATGCCTACGTCCTAATCCCTGGAACCTGGGAACATGTTACCTTGCTTGGCAAAGGAGCTTCTCAGATGTGATTGGGAATAAGGACGAGAGATGGGGAGGTTACCCTGGACCGTGCAAAGGGACCCATGAATCACACGAGTCTTTGATGCGGAAAACCCTTCCTGGTTGTAGAGCACCGGAAAGGGGACAGCGTGAAAAGCCTTCGGCCCTCCCACGCGGGCTCTGCAGATGAAGCACGGGGGATGGCAAGCCAAGGCACGTGGGCAGCCTCTAGAAGCGCGAAAGAAATGGATTCTCCCTGTCTCACTCTGTTCGGACTGCTATCCCAATACATCACAGATTCGGTGGTTTATAAACCACAGAAACTGATTTCTCACAGCCCTGGCAGCTGGCAGCCCAAGATCAGGGTGCCAGCATGGGGGGCTTGGGCGGGACCGCTTTCCCGGCTGCCGACGGCCAGTTCTAGCCATGTCCTCGCACCGTGGAAGGGGCAAGGGAGCACGGTGGGGCCTCTTTTATAAAGGGCAACGATCCCGTTCACGAGGGCTCTACAGTCACAAGCTGATCACCTCCCCAAGCGCCACCTCCCAATAGCATCACACCGGGGATCAGGATGTCGACACGTGAGTTTCGGGGGGATGAAATCGCTCAGGCCGTAGCGCTCCCCAGGGCATCCAGGGAAGGATGCTGTTCTGCCGATACTTTGATTTTGGCCCGGCGGGAGCCACGCTGGCCCTCGGACCCACAGAACTCCAAGCCGATACATCTGTACAGCTTCAAGCAGCTTCAGGCTGCCAGATCTGTTACCACAGCAACAGAGAACAAATCCACCCTCCCCCGGGGGGGGGCTTCCTTGAATCCCAGAGCTCCGAAAACGCGGTCCGATGACCATCAAACCGGGCTCTCTCTACGACCGGTGCCACGCGGCCCAGCAACGGGCCCGCCTCCGTCCAGTCTCGTTTCGGTGAGTGCGTGTGGCCCGTGTCATCGGAACTCCTCCCCCGCGGCCTCAGCCACCTATAAAGTGACTCAGGGAAAGGAGCCCAGACGGTCACCCGAGCTGATGGACCTCACGATCGCAAAGGTCTCTCCGGCCGCCGTCACTCGCGACCCAGAATCTATTTTTCTCTTCAGGTCACGTCCTAAAAGCGGAGTCCGAAGGCCTGAAAACACTTGATATTTACCGAAGTTTAGCCTCATGAGTGGCGAGAGGAGCGCGGCCCAGCTCACGGGGGGGAACTGGTAGCTCTCTCCAACAGCTGCGATGGGTTTCATCACGACTTTGAGAAGGGAAGGAGGCACAGACTCAGGACCTGCAACAGAAAGGGAAACACTAGTAAAACGCTCCGGCAGCATCATGAGAGGCGGAAATGCCAGCTCTCCTTTCTTCCAGTGCCAAAGGATTTGGGATCCCATGTCCAACTATGGTCGGTCCTTCAGTCCTGTGCTCTCAGTCTCAACCCCCTCCGTTACAAAACCCTGCTTCCTCTGCTCCTCTCCTCCTCACTTGCCTCTGGTTTTTCCCTCTTGTCTGGACAGAAATGGTCCACGTCACTACTTGACTGTCCTCCATACGCTCTTTGTCTTTTCTTTTTTTTTTTTATTTTTTTTATTTTTTTTTATTTTTTAATTTTTTTTTTTTAATTTTTTTTTTCCAACATTTATTTATTTTTGGGACAGAGAGAGACAGAGCATGAACGGGGGAGGGGCAGAGAGAGAGGGAGACACAGAATCAGAAACAGGCTCCAGGCTCTGAGCCATCAGCCCAGAGCCTGACGCGGGGCTCGAACTCACGGACCGCGAGATCGTGACCTGGCTGAAGCCGGACGCTTAACCGACTGCGCCACCCAGGCGCCCCTACGCTCTTTGTCTTTTCATCCAGCTTTCTAAAAAGAGTCACTCGTCCACGTTACTGCACCATTACTCACTCCCCAATCTACTTCCAGAAGAGGAGGTCATTGCCGCCTCGTCAGGCATAGTCCCTTCTAGTGACCGTGAAGTCCTTCCATCCCTGTGGCCCACAGTGGTCGTGCTGTGTACTATGTGACTTGCCGCTTTCACTCTCCAGCCTGTGCCACGGCTGACAGCTCCAGAGGGAAGTGCCTTCCGTAACAGCTAATGCATAGGCTAACCAGCTATCTATGGCATGGGGCTATGGCTTTAACATACTCTTTCTTTGTTCCCCCAGGTGCGGGTTAATTTGCAACTGAAATGATGAGACACTAGAGCAGGTATGAGTGGAGCCACAAGGCACAGTCAGGGTTTGAGGAGCCATGAAGGGCCATGTAAGAGTGAAGTCTGAAGGAAGCCGGAAATGATGTGTATAAAGGTAAAAGAGCAAGGAGAAAAGCAAAAGCAGCCGGATCCACATATGTAGCAGAAGGGAAATCAGCATCAGCAGCAAGAGAAGCAGACTGAGTAAAAGGAAAAGCATCAGTAGGAGAAGGATAATCAGGGGTAGAATCAGGAGATAAGCAGCAGAACCAGCAGACAGTGAAAGAGGGGAAGCAAAGGTGGGGCAGAGTCAGCAAAAGGCACAACAGCTGCAGAAAGGAGAAGCACGGGAGAAAGGAGAAGCACGGGAGAAAGGAGAAGCATGGGAGAAAGGAGAAGCATGGGAGAAAGGAGAAGCATGGGAGAAAGGAGAAGCACGGGAGAAAGGAGAAGCTGAGGCAGATAAGGCAGCAGAATCAGCAGGCACTTAAGACGGGGAAGCAGAAGCGGGGCAGAGTCAGCAAAAGGCACAACAGCTGTAGAAAGG